GGTCTACTGAATACCAACTTTTTTTTTTTTTTAAAATAGTTAGTTTATAGAATCATAGAACCGTAGAATTGTTGAGGTTGGAAAAGACCTTTAAGATCATCCAGTCCAACCATTAACCTAACGCTACCAAGTCCATCACTAAACCAGTTAAGGGTAGAGTAGCAATTTCATGTTTCCTGACTTGGTGGCTGGATTATTTATAATGAAAGTAAAAACTAGGAATCACTAAGGTTGGAAAGGATCTCTAAGATCATCAGTCCAACCATCAACCCAACACCCCCATGCCCACTAAACCATGTCCCCAAGTGCCACCTCTGCCCGTTTTTTGAACACTTCCAGGGCTGGGGACTCCCCCACCTCTCTGGGCAGCCTGTTCCGGTGCTTGACTACCCTTTCCGTGAAGAAATTCTTCCTAATATCCAATCTAATAACAATCTTATAACCTTTTGCATTAACGTTTAAAAAAAATGAGCATGCTACTATTTGTAAAATGCTCTGCGTATCCAGTGTACCAAACATAACTCTGTTTTAAAAAATAAAATACATCATTCATGATAAAAAGCTACTAAGCCACAGAGAAAGACAGATGATATAAGCCCCGTAATAAATTCACACAACAACAAATGTGTGAGCTTGTTTAAATAAATAACTGGTTTGAAGGGTGGAAAACACCCTCCCAGAGACCTTAGAGAGACTGTTTTCTTCATGGGATGAAGTGCTGTATGTGCTTGCCCCGAGACAACTGGGGAACTCGTATTCTCTCCTTACCCACCTCCCGACGATCTCCGAGGCCGATGAATGAACACGGACTGCCTGTCATCGCCCTTAAAGCCCACACACCGCATCGCATTGGCAGCACAGGGCCCGTCTCGCCTTCACAGTGCAAATTAGTCTGCAGGTGTCATTGATTTAGACATTATTAGATGCAAGTGCCAACCTGGCTGTCCTGCGCCTTCTTGCTGGAAGCCAGCAGGCTTTCAAACATCTCCGCCACGTCTCCCGTGAGCTGAACCTGGTGCTTTTTCAAGAACAAGGCGTGGTTGCTCAAGCAAGTCTGCAGCATGTCCATGTCCCACCGCTGGTCTGGCCTGAGAAACAAACCCAAGCACCGTTAGTGGGACACCCCACGTACACAGGTGCCATGCTACTCATTTATCTGCACAAGCGGGTCAACATGCAGTGGGAAAAGCCATCACATCTTTTGTTCTTAATTCCCACTTTTGCTTTTAAACATGTCCAAAGTGGAAAGCATAAGAAGTCACTTGTGACTTCCGCAAATGTGGGGAGGACGGGCAGGGGCGATCGTCATCATGTCTGTCCCCTGGGTCCCTCCTGATTCTCAGATCAGGAGACATTAAACCTTTCCTGCAGCCGTGGGCAGACCTCACTTACTCCATCAGGCACTGTGCTGGGCACCCACTTCCCCAGGCTCATCTTCTTTTTCAGAATTGCTTTTATAATTTTTGAGCAAAAGTGGCTTTTCTTTTAGCACAGAAAATATAAATACTGCAATCTTGTTTGCCAAAGATGTTTGTTTTTCCAGTTGCTCCAATGAAGTTTCACAAACAGAGGAGTGAATTCCAATTAACTCCACAAGTGTTTGTCCCTAAGAAACCATTCAGGAAATACAACAACATATTAGTGCTCGCAGGCATATCAGCCTCGAAAGGAGAACCAGGTATAGTTAAATAGACCATTCTTCAGCGCTCACAAGTGCCCCGATCCTGCTAACACTTGAGCGTTGCTGAGCCTGTAACAGGGAGGAAGGTCTAGACAGAAGCTAAGTAAGAAAGAATGGAAATTGTTTTCATTACTGTATTAAAGAGACCTAAAAAGAAGAAAAAAAAAATCAATTCTCTCTTGTCCTTGTGGCGTACGCACAGGAAAGAAAAAAACCATTTTGAATAACTGCGGATTATTGTTTTTAAAGGCTATATGCATCTTCTGCTTCACAGAAAAATAATTTGCTTCTCAAAATTACATTCCCCATCCTTACGTGCCTGAGACTCACGTTGAAGATCACAGAAATTACCAGCTAAGAGATCTCTGAAGTTAATATGTTTCCTTCCCCACCACAGCAGCCTGGGGCGGGAGATGCTGTGGACTGGGCAAGACGGGGGGGACCTGGCTGAGTGCTGCCTGGCGGAATAAGATTCACCGTCAGTGAACGAAAAGGAAAATAAATGAATTTGCTTAATGTTCTCATTTCGAGTCGCACGGCTGCTGCCAAGACACGCAGAGATCAGCACTCAGACGTCTTTATTTTCCAGTGCGATTGGAGGTCTGGCCCCAGGTCTGCTTTCTGCAGACTTTTCTTTCTTTTTCTGCACCAGAGAGGCAGAGCAGACTTGGGGAGGAAAGAAAAGAATGTTAATCACACCCACACACAAGTTTTGTGTCTGCAATACCTGGTTTGCTTTTCATCCACCGCTCTACCTTTAGCATCGAGTGTTTTCTCAGGTAGGAGGCATCCATTCAGCACGCTCTGTAATAAAGCCCGAAGCTGATGAAGGACGACTGCCTCGCATGCTTCAAGGTCGTCTTCTTTCAGACTGCCGGCCCGATTACAAAAGCTACAAAATAAAGCAGGTATTACATGCAACCTTTATTTAAAGCCCAGACAAGCCAGCATCAGTTTGGAGGCAGAATCTGTAACGCTTCCCCTGGCTAACGGGATAACTGGTGGGACAGCCCAGCGGGACAAACATCCGCGATGCTCTTGGCAAAAGATGCGGAACAGGACAGGGAGGTCAAACCCAGCGCTCAGAAAACGCCAGGTTTAATCTCGCACCTTTGCTTTTTGACAGAGACAGGGGAACCTGCGCACATCCACTCAGTGGAACCGCTTCTTGGCCGGGCGGCCCTGGCTGTGCCGTGGCCAGAGCGCTTACGTCGCAGGAGCCCATCTCTGGCGGTGGGCAACACTTCCTCCTAATTCCCTAGAAATCCTCTAACCATCGAGTGCTTATGACAATCCTAGTTTATGGAGGCTGATGTATAATTTTAAATAAAATTACAAAGCTGTTCCCAATTCTTGTAATTAAGAGCCCTGTTGCTGCGGAGGGACAAAGAAGGCTCGCTGACCCCGGTTTTGTTAACACACGGGTTTTGGTGATTCTCTTTGCTCCTTTACCTTGAAGAAGAAATTATTTTTCTGGCTATTGTTGTCTACCTCAGTAAATCACATTAGCATTACTAGCCAAGGGGATGCTCTCATTCTTGGAAATAAGTATTTACTTCACCTAAGGGATCTGTGGAGCAAGGCTGCAAAAAGCGCTACATTTAGGAAAGAGTATTTGTTGGAGTAATTTGCGTATGCACTTCTAAGGGCCATATTTCAGCTCTCCGATGACATTAAAACAGTGGAAGGGGAGGGAGGCCTCTTAGCAACTAGCGATGTTTGTTTGCAGGAGCCCGCTGGCTCTTTGCGCCGGCCATTTGTCACCGCAAGAGCGAGGACCCCGGCTCAAACCTCAGCAGGCTCCTGCAAAGCTGCTCGGCAACAGCCTCTCGCCACTGCTCACCTGAATTCAGCTAGGAGCGCGTAAGCAGTCAACAACAAAATTACAAGCATTACGCTGGATGTACGGCAACGAGCAAACAAGGATGCAGGGGATGGGGTTAAGGCATAGGCAGCACCGCCCTCCTCCCCGGTTCCTGCCCGCTCTGCCAGGGCGCGGAGGGGAGAGGCAGCTCGCGGGGAAGCGGCATTAACCTGAGCAGCTCCGCCGTGCCCATCGTCCCCACGTGCTGGCCCTGGTACAGCGCCCGGTGCTGGGGGCTCGTCCTCACCACCACGTCTTCTATCAACTGCAGCGCACGGGAGAGCCCCGCCAGCGTCCCGCGGTGCCTGCGGACGGACAGCAAACGGGGCTTGAAGGGACTTGAGCTGCGACAGGTATTTCAAAGGCATTCCCATCGCACCAGTTGGAAAAACGAACACCCTCGTTTTAGCTTTTCAAAGCAAACAGCAAAAACCACATTGCTTGAGCTCTGTCAAGAGGGAAAAAAAAAAAAAAGCACATGAGCAAACAAACCATCCAAAAATCAGCCAAGGCCTGAGATGCTGCATTGAAATTGCCCTGCCCCGAGTCGTTTAATTCCTTCACCTCCACAATCAGAATAAATCTGGTGACCACCTACAGGTACGGGGACATAACTGGGACCTCAGAGGGGTTCTGATGAAGCTGCACCTCTATAATGATGCAAATTAGGACTTAAACATTGAAACAATGCAGCAGGCTAATCCTTGAACAGAGGTGTAAATGGCTATTCAGGTCCAGGCCGGCTGCCTGCTTTGTTGGGGACTTTCCAGGCCAGGTCTCCACCAGCCATGCCCCAGCTGGGCCTGCGCCCGCAGAGCCCCACAGGCAAAATAAAGATTTTTTTTTTTTTTTCCCCCCCCCCCCCCCATGTAGAAGCTGACATTTATACAGTTAACCTTGGTTCACGCTCCCTCAAGTGAAAAGCTCTGAGCAAGAAAACTTGCAGCATTTTTGCAATCGTGTTAAGCTATACTGAAAGTTGTGTTTTCCGTCGGGCTGTTGGGCAACAGTGAACAATTAAGTGGGAGCTGCCATGCATTTAGTCGAGTTTCCTAGACATTTAATAAGCAAAACAATACCAGGGAGATCACATATGCAGTTAAACAGTGCTTTTTCTTTTCCCCCAGTCTTACAAACCCTGTATTTTAGCGGCCGGCTCGTTTCCCATTGTTTTCCTCCCGCTGGGTGGTCCTTCCAGGGTGCCACTCGAGAGGGATACAATAATAAAAAGGGAAGGGGAAGGAAGGGACACCAACATAAAGAAAAACAAAATGTATGACAATCTGCAGCAGGCTACGGATCAGAGGTCAGCAAACAAGAGGTCCTTCTCTTTTACAGGTTGCTTCCTGGAAACAGTCTGATTAAGCTGGCAGCTTGAATTATGTGTTACATTTTGTAATGCACAATCCATCTGTGCTAAGTCCTCTTCAATGCAGCTGAAGCAGCACAGGCATAAGCTCTGCCTTTTTCCACCCCCTCAGCGCAGGCCTTAAAATAGTCATCATCTTTCTCTGCGCTAATTCTCCGAGACCCTCTCCCCCCCCGCTCCCACTCCCGGGTTTAAGCCCTTAAAGAAAAGGCCGGGTGCTGTAAGGAATGGTAAG